ATTTGTGACATGGTGACAAACAACAGCCTTACTGAAGGGGAGTCATCGCCTCATGCACCCGGTCTCTTCACGAAGAAGACACACATTGCGGCACGAGGGGCTGTTATTTGTGCCATTTCTATGAATGCGGTATTGTTTCTGGGCTCTAAATGTTGTATGGTTCCCCGCGTCAACATTTCTAAATCCTCGGAAAGAGTTATCAGCGTTGAACGGATTACAATTCTCTTTTGGTCTTCATTAGTCTGCGTTGTTGCCGTCATATATTATTTGGTAGGCTTTCATCTCCGAGAAGATGCGTTAATGTGGATGATAAACTATTTTACATCGGCTCGTCACCGTCCATGGATACTTTTATTGTGGGGGGGAGCAGTTCCATTGTCAGTTATCTGTGTAGAGAGATTTACAGGTGGCCTGCGCAAAACAGCGAGGCGGAAATTGTTCCATTTCATCGCCGTTGTTCTCTTCACCCCTGTGGCTCTTGTGGATCCATCATTTCTATCACTTTCACTCTCCATCGCCTCCTCAATTGCCATACTTGTGGAGCTGTCCCGTTTTTATGGGGTCTACGGTTCATCCACCTTAAATGCGTTTATGCTGGAGCACATAGACGGTCGTGATTCAATCAGGGGTGCGGTGCGCACGCACATTTATCTCATTTATGGATTGGGCCTCTCCATGATGCTGCGTTTCCGTTACGAGCGACCAGAACCGGTATTGGAGTTTTCAAGTTGGATGGAGCTTGCAATTCATATTATTCCGGGTCTTGTTTCTTTGGGCATTGTGGACGCGTGTGCCGGCATCGTGGGAAGCACATTCCTCCTTTCGTATCGTCGGGCTTTGGGACGGTATCTAAATAACAGCTTCTTTACCGAGCGGGCAAATTCGTCCATAACACACAAGACGACGACAGGGACATTCGGAGGTTTATTATGTGGCATTCTATTTTGGTTGTTCATAATGTTGGTGGCGGGGAATATAAGGGAGGCGGATGCGGGGCACAGTTTTATTCTCATACTTGTTTGTAGCCTCACGGAATGTTTTATGGACGGCATAGACAACCTACAGCTCCCTTTAGTGGTGGACGGGGCCGTCCATACATTACTTGCGTTTCTCGTGCACAAAAAGAAGGCGAAATGATATTTTAAGGGACGAAAAGAAGGAATGGAAACAAAAGCAGGCGAAAAAAAAAAAATGAAGGGGATTTTGTTCCGCAGGCGGAATACCTCAAACGGCCTAACAAAATTTTTTTTTCCTGTTGCTGTGATTTCCGTATGTTGTTTGTTTGTTTGTTGTTGTTTGGTTTTTTTTGTTTGTTTGTTTTGGATCAAAATCGTTATTATTTTTTTTTTCTTTTTTCTTTTTCTTTTTTTCTTTGCGTCCCCACGTTTCCCTTCAGTCTCTTTATTGGTCTCCTTGTGTGTTATCATTGTCGATCCGAGTCTTGCTTCATTGACCTTAACGACTTTTCACAGGGAGAAGGGAAGAGAGAGAGAGTGTGTGTGTGTGTGTGTGTCTCAATGGATGGGCGCGGCAACAACTTTGCCGAAAGGGACGACGGCAGCGTGAAGGCCACACTTGCACCGCGCAGCAGTGGAATGCAACAAAGAATGAGGCAAGACGCGAAGGAAACTCATGGAAAGGTGTTGCCCGTACTTCCGTCCATCCCTGCGGCTACGCAAGCTTCGCAAAAAGGACGTCCACAAAAATACTCAGAGGCTGAAAGAAATCCGTTGGCGCTTTTGTCCTCAGAGAGCCGGGCTACAGCGGCCCGCAACACCCTGCAGGAACACTGGCGAAGTGCGTTGCTGGAGTACGAAGTTGCGCTGAGGGAATTGGTGACGAACAGCATTAATGAGCCCCCCTCGGATGTGCGTCTAACGAAGACGTTGCAGGTGTATGATGCGGTGGCACGTGTTGTCGCGGATCAATCTCCCGAGTTGGCAGACATGATGAAAATGTTTCGTGTTGAGTTTTGTCGTGCCACCTTTAGCAACAGGAGTCTCAGTGATTTAATACCGTTTCAGGACACCGACGGTGTGGAAGAGGAAGTGGATGATCTTGGAAGGGCGTACTTTGATCAGGTAAGCGTGTTGCTTCGTGAAAATGCGGCACTTCGCGTGGAGGTGACTCTTGGCAACACGCGGGATAATTTGGCTCAAATGAAGCAGAAGATTGAGCACCTGGTGGAGATGAACTCCCACTACGAGAATGAACTCAATCGGTTGGTGCGGGAAAATGAACTTTTGGCCGAGAACTACCGCAAGGCTCGGGAAGAACTCCGCAAAGAAAAAGAAAGGAATCAGATCATGATAGACACCTTTGACGATGAAAAAGAGAGAATTTTACAGGAGAACAAAGACATGCAGCTGCGTCTGTGTCGGTTACGAAAATACCTCGGTGATCGAGAGTCTACGGTGGTCAAGGATGCCTACAAACAGTTAAAAGAAAAGAAAATGGAAGTCATGACACAGCTATTTGACGAGGGGGATGAGCGTGTCTCTATTCTGGTGATGCTGAGCCAGTTGGAAAGTCGTGTGAACGAGGAACTAGATAATTACGACAGGGAAGCGTTGCTGTGTGAAGAATCGGAGCTGGCGGAGCGTCAGCAGCGAATGTTGAGCAGCGTCTCTGTATTGTTGGAAGAAATGCACCTGTCTGAGGTGCGCTACCTGCGTCTGGTGCCAAATGCGCATTTGTTGGTTGGAGAGGAGCAGGACGAGACGGATGGTTACGTCTCACTTTTGTCGGATAAAGGGCTCTACGAGGCGCTTGTGGCGAGAGCCGAGGCGCGTGAAAGGACCCTCGCGGTAGCAGAGTCGGATGCAGGGGAGTCAAAGGACATTATGGCAGCAATGATGGCAAACACTAGCATGGATTTTTTGCGTAGCGTGAGTGGCACAGTTGTGGATGACACAAGCTTCCAAATGTCTTTGCGAGAATCGAGGGATCCTACGCCGTATAAGATGGGCTCACCGGATGGAATTTCTCTTCCGCGGCCGGATTCGGAAGATGCGAAACATGAACGAAGGAAAGAGGAGGTGACTGAGGACAAGAAAGAGGAACGAGAAGGAGGAAAGGGGAAAGAAAAGGAGGGACGGCGATTTGCGCAGTTGACAAGCGCAATGCCAAAGGAGGCGTGTGTGGAGTCTTTGATGATTATCAGAAGGAAGCAAGAGGAATGGGTTGCCAATATTTTTGGATCGGCAGTGGAGAAAAAAGATTTCTTGAAACGTGTACTAAACCGCGATTCGTATCAAGGAACAATGACTGAGCAAGAGCAACTCATGCGTTACTTTATCTTGAGGCCAATGCTGGATGTCAGTGACAATAAGTTTCGATGTGGTATAGACATTTTTACAGGTCCTGGTCCACTAACACAGTCATTTCTCTGCACCGTCATGCACGTGGACCCTGTTGAGCCATTGCACGTTCCACAAGGAAGCAATTTTATGCATTTAAAGTACCGAAATCCACTGCGGATCGACGCGGTGAGTAAAGATCCTTCAGAAGGGGCTTTAGTTGCACCAAATACTGAAGCCGTTGAGGAGTGGGGCGGAAAAACTTCTTATGTACGTGAGGTGACGGAAGCGGTGGTTCCTGAATTGGCCGTCAGTTCTAATGTCTTTGCTGAATTGAGGCGTCCGAGTGTCTTAAAAGCCGCAGCTTCGGGGGTAAATGTGGCATCCTCCTCAACGCCATCCGCAACAGTATTTCAGCGGCTGAATCCACTTTCACCAAATCGTTCCCCGGAGTGGTTGCTCTACCAGACCATGTTTGGAGGCTACCGCCCGCTGGCGCCACGCCTCATTGATATCTCATACATTGATCACATTCTTCTGAATTCCTGTGAACGTCACTTTGACCGTTCAGAGGAACGTTACTCGCGTTGCTTCAAACAGGCACGTGGACGAGCAACAAACAGTCAAAAGGCTTTGAATATGGCGGAACGCTTCTTCAAGGATACGTACGCATTGACAGACTTTCAGGATTCGATTATTCGAGAATTAGAGTCTCGCTATTGCTACCCTGAACTTGTGGCAAAGTCTCTTTATGAGATTTTGTGTTTCCTTGACGCAACAATGGCCTCTCAGCCGTTGGTTGATTTGTATCTCAGTTGCATCAGGGGCTTTGAATCGCCGACACGTATTCATTACATCACATATGTACTCCACCAGATAAGTGTGAATTGGCCATCATCGAATCCGGAAGAACCCGTTCTGAAGGAAGATGTCCTTACGTTGCTGGAGTATATTTACAAAAAGGTATCTGGAATAACCAGCATGGAAGCCAGCGAAATTCTTACAGAATATCACATGGCGACGCGCTCAGCCCCCATCACACTAAATTCGCTACGCAGTTATCTGGTAACAGCCATGATGCACTTTGAGGATCCACTTCTGCTCTATTTTAACGGGCTACTCAGCTATAATGCAACTTCCAGCGCTGTTGTGGAAATGAACTACGAGCAGTTTGAATTGGCTCTCAAGAGCAAGTGGGAGGAGAAAATTGAGGGGAAGTTGCTCATCCGCTACCTCGCTGCCTCGTGTGGATTCAACAAGAAGGCGGAGTTAACAACAAAAGAGTTGGCGTGTGTCGCGACAAGCATGTGGAGCTCGCAATTGTGGTCAAACATGTAAACTAGCTTTGTGGGAGTGTTGTTTTTAAGCAACCCACAAATACAGTTTGATTTAGGCATGTATTATTATTATTATTATTGTGGTGGTTGTTGGCTATCTGCGTTTTGGACCACCGTGAGTTGTCAGTGACAATGAAAGGAGTCGATGACAATGGCCGCCCAGCCGCTTTTCGTTCACTGACTCTCTTTTTGTTGTTGTTGTTGTTTTGGGGGGGAGGGATATTGTCATTACACACAAAAAATTCTCTCTCTTTCTTTCCCTCTCTCTCTCTCTCTCTATCACTCTACCCTCGCAATGATGCTTTTGGGGCAGTAAAAGTGGAGCGATCATTACAATGGATCTCCTTTTCTTTTGGTTTTGTCTATTATCATTCTTTTTTATTATTTTGTCTTTTCCACGCGTCAAGCAAACAGAGATTCTTTCGGAGAGAAAATCTATTTTTTTATTTTTATTATTTTTATTTTTTCTCTCACGGCGAAGAATGACTGCCCCCATCCATCGACTGCGGCAACGAACCCTCGAGTCACTTTGGGGACGCGGTGGCACAAAACCACATATGGCGGCTTCCATGGTTAGTCGCGAGGACCGCTACATCAGACTTCCGTGGTCGAGGGAAAATCAATGCACTGAAAAGCCGGCTCAGCTGCGCGGCAACTGGGACGTTATTGTTGCCATTCTCTCGGCGGACACTTCAAAAAACATGGAGAATTTTCGAGATTTGCTCAAAAGACTTTATTTTTATGGCTCGTCCAGATTTATCTCGTGTCTTCCTTGCTTTGGGACGCTCTGTCTTGTGATTGACTCCATCATGACCCCGTCGGAACGTCTCGCCTTCTTTCATGTGACGCTGCCGTGGATGAAGCGCCGCGTCATTGACGGTCCGGTGGTCCTTCCGCGTGATTTACGCGCCCTTTCACAAGGAGAGAGCAGGCGTTTGATCCTCACACATGAGGAAGCCGCAACATTATTGACGTGTGGCTTCTTTTCCCTCTTTCCTGGCCGCTGCTCCAATTCCCGCTCCAAGAGTAAGTCTTCCGAAACAACTTCGTCGTTTAATTTTGCTGATTTGTTTTCTCTTGCACCTCCTGGACGTATTGAGAGTCAGGTTGCTAAAATACGATGTCTGCTACAGTACTTTATTTACTGTTCTCATCACGCAGATGCGGTGGAGACTTGTTTAGAGTTTTATCGTGTTAGTTTTTTGTCTTTTCCGGATTTGGGTAAAAGTTTAAATCCGATGCAGAGTGTAACGATGCTTGAAGAAGGACTTATTGAGGACAACTACGGGAGTCTTCAGGTTGATTTTGCCAACAAATATGTAGGCGGAGGCGTTTTAAGAACAGGATGTGTTCAAGAAGAGATTCGATTTATGATGTGTCCAGAGCTTCTTCTCTCGTGTCTTTTCACTGAGCCACTTCTGGATAATGAGGTGCTGTTTATGAGCGGTGCTGGGCAGTACAGTGTTTCAGTTGGATACGCCAGTGGCTTTCGTTTCATCTGCGGCCATTCACCACACTTTGCCAAATTGGGTGCGGCTACGTCCACACCACGGGAAATATGGGTGGAATTGGTGCCAACCTCACTGCGCAATGAAAAAGACTGCACTGCCGTCATGCTACGAAACTCTTGTGTAGTTGCTATGGATGCGATCAACTATTGCGGTTGTGAGGAAAAACAGTATCTGGCGTCTTCCATAATTCGCGAAACACGAAAAGCATTTGCCGCATTTAAAGGGACACCTGACAGTATCCTGACATCTGTTCATTCTGGCCCCGTGGCAACGGGCAATTGGGGGTGTGGTGCCTTCTCTGGCGATCGTGAACTAAAAACGATGATTCAGTGGTGCGCGGCATCTGAGGCCAAACGACCACTCATCTACTCCAGTATCAATGACAGCGATCTATGTTATCGCTTTGGGCTTGTCTATACAAAACTGCAAGAAGAAGAGTGGACTGTCGGTGATGTATTCACGGCTCTGCTTCTCTTTTCTCAACGGTATACCACCAACCCAACGTCCTTGGAAGAAGGCAGCCTCTTTCAGTACATCCTTTCCTTGACGAACCCCCGGTGTGCTTCTTCGCACTCCGGCACAGAATTCGAGTAGGAAATGACGGGAATGGTGATGTTACGCACAAGCGGAATTATACACGCACGCAAATACTTGCATTCAAGCGTGGGTATTTTTTTTTTGTCTGTGAAGGATTATATATATATATATGCCTGTTCTTTCTGGTGCTTTTTTGAATTGGCTTATTTCTTTTTTTGTTTGTTTGTTTGTTTGTTTGTTTGTTTGGGTGTTGACGAAACACACACAGGAATAACAAGGTGTGGCGCCATCATGCACGCAGAGGATATTGACCCCGCGACTTTCTCCCTCCGCCCGGAGCATAGGCAAAAATTTCGTCCCAATGATATTCGGCCAATTGTTCGCTCCATCATTGAGTCACGGCTTGAGAACGAACCGTACAGGGCGGACGAAATTCAAAGTATTAGTAAAGAAATTGCCGATACGGTACGGGATAGAATTCGTACCATGGATCTGGAGCGATACAAAATTATGGTGCACTGCATGATTGGAGAGCAGCGCGGACAAGGGCTGCGTGCGGGGTGCAAAATGTTTTGGGACTCCGACACAGACGACTACTTTGAGGAGGTATACATTAACGAATACCTTTTTGCCGTCGTGACGGTGTTTGGGCTGTACCAGTACTAAGAGGCGAACTCCATTGTGAAATGGATTCTTTTTGCTTTTTCTGTCGTTGCTGTCTGAGTGTTGTTTATTCCTCACTCTCTATATGATTACGCCCTGAGGGTGTCTATCAATAAGCGTCGGGCACGCCGTGAGAGGAGGGGAGAAGATAAAAGGAGGGAATATATAAGTCAAACAAGAGCCTGGATAATGGGGAGGCCGAAAGCGGGGTTAGGAGAGAAG